TGTGCTTCTTTGTGACTTTTAAAACCATTTTTCTCATGATTCAAATTTATTCATATTATAGTTGAATTTCATACATAGCTTCACAATGTGGATCATACAGGTCTTCCATCGGTAAAGTCAATGAAGACATATCTTTCATGAAAGGCACGTAAAGAATCATTTAAGGAATTTTGATAACTTTGAATTCCTTTATATTATGAAGAAGAAAATCCCCCAAATGAAAGAGACATGAATGTAGTTTATGGTTACCCGCACACACCCAAATACTTTAACAAATATACTTTAACAAAATGATGACACATAAACTAAACTTAGAAACTACTAAACCAGCGATGCTTACTGAAAGACTAGTTTTTCAAGATGAGTAAAAAAAGGGAGGTAGGATTGGGAGTGCTGTTCATTTTTCTGACACAAGGTCATAAAGACACATTGTGAATAATCAAAAGAAAATTAATAGTCAAAGGTCTCAGCTCCGAAGTTATCCTTCAATACATGCTCTGTGATTAACGACAGAATTCCTTTAACCAGTTTTCCCAGTGCGCACGGTGACAAGCTTTCTCAATAGAGGGCGCTAGAGAGACGTGGCAAGAAAAGGGGGCTCTGGCAGTTTCTGGATGCCCTTGCCTTGTGGGTGTGAGAACCTCCCGTGGAGCGCCCGCTGGGACACGTAGGGTCGCAGCAGTGTCGCAGCTAGTCAGCCAGCTTGCTGCAGCTGCCGGGCCTCCCCACAACCTTCCTGCAGCCCTCGCGACAGGGAAACCGGGGCCTCAAGCTTCCTGCCTGCACCTCTGCTGTGATTCCCTACTCTCCTCTTCCTTCCCCCAGGTGTATCTCCCGGAATCTTCTGGAGGCGGCGGCCCTTAAGATGGCGACACCACGCTCCAGGCCTCCTGTTGCCCGGCGCCCCACTCCCGCTGGGCGGCCACGGGCTTCCAAGCCCCGCTTGTGCTCACGGGGGCTGATTCCTGCTCATCCCACAGTGGGAACCTGCGGTCTTCTGATTTCAAGATTGTTCTTTCCTAAGCACCAAAGGAGGCAAGAAAAGCTTTATCTTTCTCCGCTGCACCCCTTTTAATAAAAGGATTTGTTCTGCAAAATTTGGATTCAGTCAAAAGTCCGCACTCAAGGATCCAGAAGGCCACAGGTTCCCCACCCCTCCACAGATCACTGTGTGATTTCTGTCTCCTGATTGGCTCCAGAGCACAGGTGCGTTCATTTAATCACAGGTGGGGACACAGAATTCAAGAAAAGGTGTACATTCACAGTCAACTACACTCCCCCGTACATGTGCACAACTGCATGCACGTGCACACACCTGGATACATAGAAGGTGAATTTTGGTCCAAGTGTACAGTGTGGGATTTTAGGCAATTAAATTAATGATGCAATTAATCCATTATTACAACAGCTAAGCTTTCTATCTCTCTGGTCCCAGGAAGATACAAAGGAGCAGGTACCAGGAAAGCTGCCTTATGACATTGGATGCTTCTTGGGGACATGCATGATTTCTTTCCTCTGAAGGAGTCATCCTTGTTCCCTGTTGAAGCCAAGCTCGTACGGCGCAGCTGATCACAAGAATCAAAAATGATCCTCATGGGCAAGTGTGGTCTCCATCACTTGGGTGGGCATGACACACTCTTACCTCCCAGCCCATGGCTGTAGAGGCCTATGAGTCCCCTGGTATACCTTGCAAGATGCTTTGGGAATGTGTGTGTGTCTTTATTAAAAAGAAGGCCCATAACATACTTAGATCCTCAAAGATTTTATGAGAAAAAACAAGGAAAGAAAAAACAGAATGAGTGGAAACAGAAGACAGTACAGGATGGAAAGTGTGGGAAGGTAAGAAGGACACTGCTGACAAAAAGAAAGCAACCAGACAGCTGTCAGCTCTCTCACAGCCAGACCTTGGTATTCCCTGCTGACCATAAGCAGTTCCACAGAACAGCAACTTGAAACAAAATTACTCTGTGAAGAGACATAATGTCATTCCAAAATCTTGTCTACACACATACAAAAAGATTATTCTGTAAGTCACAAAAATGAAAAACATGCCCCTTTTCTGCTTAACACAAACAGCTGCCCTGCCTTTACAAAATACAGCTTTGCCTTGCTCCATCCTGCTCATCTCCTAGAAAAAATTATTAAGATAATCATAGAACTGCCCATCCTCTTGCTGGTACACTATGCAGAATGGACTCCTGTTCCTTAAACCTTTCCCCAAAATCAGCTAACACAAAATCAAATCCCTAAAGCTCCTCTCCTGACAACCTGTTACTGAGAAGTTTTATGTTACACCATTGTGCTTAATATCCCTGCTGCAATAGGTAGGAAAAAGAAAACTAAAAATTAAATATATATATATATATATCATCTTTGACTATAAGCATATTCCTGGTAGTCTTCACATTGAGGAAAATGACACTCCCATTCATTGCCTTTATTCTACTCAAAGCATCCTTGTAGGAAACGTAATGGGGTTCAAAATCTTACTTTATAGATGTAAAAACAGGTTCAGCCAGGATATGGGGTTTGTGTGAACTCACATTCATGAGTCAAAACTAAGCCTTTTGATAACAAAGCTCAAGCTCCCAGATAGATCTGCCCAAGAACGCTGCTTCCTAAGGTAAAATGAAACAGCCACCCTGGAGGGAATGAAGGCCCCGTCTTAAACAAGCTGTCATAGGAAGCCATGTACTGTGCACTCTTAAGTGTGGACCCGCTGAGGGCACAGCACTCCACAGCCAAGACAGTGGTGCCTCTTTCACAGAAGAGGAAACTGGGGGTATGAACTTGGCCAAAGTCACACGGCCGGGAAGTGGCAGAGCTGGCATTCCAGTCCAGGTTACAGGAAAGGGGCGGGGTGGGGTGGGTGGGGGCTGCAGACAGTCCTCCTCCTGGTCAGAGAGGCAGTGGTCTCTGCAGCCTCTTGGGGTGAGGTGGATTTCTGGTGGGGCTGCCAGAGGGAAGGCAGTGGAGGCTAAAGTCCAGACATATGCATACAGGGGCCTTCACTGTGGAGCAGAATGCAGAGTGCGCCATCAGGCTGATGGGTGTGGAGAGGAGCATCTCGTGGTGGGAAAGGCCTGCTGGAGACTGCGCACAGCAGGAAGGTGCTCTAGCTGTGCAGCACTAAAATCAGCGGCTTAACTGTTGGATTGACTTCCCACCCAGACGCCCATCCACTCCCAGCCTGGTTCCAGGATTAGTCAGGGTCTGAAGGACAGTTTCCTGACTTGCAGTACTGAGTACACAATAAAAGTAAGCACTGTGATCAAAGCCAGCACCTCCAGTGTGACCTGGAGTCAGTTACCTCATCCCACCTTCTGCCACTGGAGCAGGAGCTGTTGGAGGGGCCCTGGAAAGGCATCTCACCCACATTCCTTCTGGTGCTTGGAGGCCTCACAACACCCCTTTACTTTATGACTGTAATTTTGTTATTTCGAGAATGTTACATTAAAAAGTGTATCAACTTTTGACATTGGATTTCTTTTAGTCAACATAAAGCCCCTGAGAATTATTCAAGTTACTGCATGAGTCAGTAGTCTTTTCCTTATTTTTTTCTGTGACTTTTTGACTGTATGGATGTACCACAGTTTATCCATTCACATGTCAAAGGCCAATTGGGTTATATTGAGGTGTGATTTTTTTCTATTAAAAATGAAACTTCCAAAATGTGGTATATATAAGCTTAATGAGGGGAGAGGTTAATCACTATCCCCACCACTTAACTCAATGAATGCTTGTTGAATATGTCCATAAATGAGTGAATAAACAAAGAATGAGCCAATGGTCTCATGTTCTCTGCTGATCCCAAGCTAAATATATGCAGTTCTACCCATCCCCACAGCCTCCAAAGTCAGTGCTACTGGTAAAGAGTCAGAAAGTAAGATCTAGACTTTTAATTCCTGAAGAATAAAAATGGGGTTTCTGCTTTTCAAAAATCAAAACAAACAACAACAACAAAATGTGATATATACATACAGTGGAATATTATTCAGTCTTCAAAAAGAATGAAATAATGATACATGCTTCAACGTGGATGAAACTTGAAGACATTATGCCAAGTGAAATAAGCCAGATACAAAAGGACAGCTATTGTGTGATTCCATATGTATGAGGTACCTAAAATAGTTAAATTCATAGAGACAGAAAGCAGAGTAGTAGTCACCAGTGGTTGGGGGTGGAGAAAATAGGGAGTTACCATTTAATGGGTAGAAAGTTTTGGTTTGGGATGATGAAAAATTTCTGGAGATGGATAGTGGCAAAGGTTTTACAACCATGCCTATGTACCTAATGCCACTGAGTTGTGCACTTAATAATGCTGATCAAAATGATCAATTTTATGTTTATTTTTCCCCAATAAAAAATAGAAAATTGAAGTAAATGACTATAATATCATATAATGTAAGTAATAGAAAAGAAAATAATGCAAGCTAAGACGATAAAGATTGGCTAGGTAGAACTATTTTAGATAAAGTAATCAAGGCAGGTTTCTCTGAGACAGGAATATTTGAATGGAAGGAAAAGAGCCAACCAGCCATGCACTGAAGAGAATGTCCAGGCAGGGAGACATCAAGTGCAAAGCCTAAGGCAGGTCTTGGTGTATTAACGGCAGCAAGAGGTCTGCTGTGCCTTCCTGGATGAGTGTGTGTGCACGCGTGCATGTCTGTGTATATAGTTGGGGTGCACGAATATGTGCATGCATTCATGGGTATCTGTATGTTTTTCTGTTGGAAATAAGGATCTTGACATGACTAATCAGGTGAACCTACTTATGGTAGCTCAGCAATGAGAATTGCCAAATGGATGACAATTGAAGGTGGAATTGTGCTGTATTAAAGCAGACAGCTGCCTACCACTGTGTTGGAGGCTGCTAAGAAGAATTTCATGCAGTCCTAAGTGTTGTTTATTAATCTGGGGTTGAAGGCCAGGCCCAGGCTATCTCTGTTGACATACTAGATTGGGCCCTATATAGCTGAGCCCAGTCTCCTGCCTCACTCCAAGGCATCTGCCAGAGTCCCAAGCTAGAGAGCCAGCTTCCTTGCCACTGAATCGCTGCTCTGCAGAAGCCCCAGTAAGTCATTTCTAGTGAATGAATGTGGGTTCCTGGATCAAAATTCAGAGGGCTTGACTTGACTCTGGAGGCCTGGAGGAGGCTTTCTAGGGGTTGCGGAAGAGGGATGGCAGGCAGAAATCGGGTTGAGGGTGTTCTTTTCTCTGCCTGTGCTGGGGCACCTGTGACTTTCTTCAATTGCCTGACCATTTGCAAAGGAGTCTACCTTTGTTTTCAAAGGGAGCCTTGGAGGATTAGATAGCAACAGCTGGAAGAAAGCTTGAAAGGACAGATGAGATGTTAGGAGTGAGAAAGGGGCAGGGGCTTCTAGGCAGATTGTCTAATAGCCAGTAGTTTTGACTCACAGAACACAAGGAATTCCTGCCAGGAAGCAGAGAGGGATGTAGCACCCTGCCAGGGCCAAGGTAGTGAGAAATTTCCATAGAAAATGCTCACCCTGGCAAACCTGTTTTGCTGTGGGAAATAAAATGCTAAGAGGAAGCAGACTCGGGTTAATTCTGGGCTCTGTTAGTGACTAGTCGATGTCTTGATCTAAAGTCGGGAACTTCTTCTCAGAATCACCAACCTGCAGCTTATGGTCCGCCACTGAGTAAATGATAGTTAACTACCCCTGGAGGAAAATCATCTGCCCAGATAAAAGATGGGATTCAGATAGCTGATGGGCTCAAAGGAGAGGTGAGGGAAGGAGGGAGATCGTACTCACGCCTAGGTCTCCACTCATTTCCCTTCCCTAAGCCAGCAGCGTGAGTGAGCTGGTAATGTGTAGTCCCAGCTGTTCTCATTGTCAGGAAAGCATACCCACAGCCATGCAGCAGCAACCCCAGAGACCAGGGGACAGGTGACCTCCTCCCTAGAGTCCCCACTGCATGTTCTTGCGCCTACCTTTGTTAAAGTACTGATCACAAGGAATATTTACTTTTCTGAATCCCCAGTCTGGAGGCCAGGCGTGGGTCATCTATTTCTACATAGTCTGTGTGTGCCCTGTGCCCAGGTTATAGGACAGAGGGCATGTTTGGTAAATACGTATTGATTAACTGAACAAGCTGAGATAATCTTCAACTTTCCCCACACTAAGGTGAAGACCATGTCCCTGTTTTCATCCCTCCCCCTCCTTCTCCTGAGTGTGGTGGCAGCATGTTACTCAGAAACTGTAACCTCTGAGGACATCCAAAAGACCTGCCCTGTGATTGCCTGTGGTACTCCAGGCATCAATGGCTTCCCAGGCAAAGACGGACGCGATGGCACCAAGGGAGAAAAGGGAGAACCAGGTACAGGTTGAGCTGCTCTGTCTCTGCAATCCTTTACCTTCCAGAGGAAACTGACTGGACATAGGAGGAGAGTAATGTGCTATGCAGGTAGATTGTATTTTTCTCGACTACATCTTGTAACTCAAAACAGAGATACAGCTCTGATACTCTGGAATCCCAGAATTTCACACCGTACTTTGTGACAAGTGGTTGTATTACATGTCCAGGAACCCACAGGCCAGGACACCCCATGGGACACAGAAGGAATTTTTCTTCTCTGGGTCATAGGAAGCTGTGGCTCAGACAGGTTAGCCCTGGGTCGAGGTCTCCTCACTCTCCTGGGATGGGATTGGGTGTTTAACTGAGGAGAAGGAGAGCAAGAGCACAGACACTGAGGCAAATTCCCTGTCTCCCAACAGGCCAAGGGCTCAGAGGCTTGCAGGGCCCTCCTGGAAAGGTGGGGCCTGCAGGAAACTCAGGACCCCCTGGGTTACCAGGAGCAAAGGGCCAAAAAGGAGACCCTGGAAAAAGCCGAGGTAAGGAGCTCACCCCAGCAAGGTCTGAGCTGAGTGCACCCAGGTTCTGAGACCTTGAGTACCTGGTGGGAGGTGCCCCTTCACAGGAAGATGCCCAAATTTACTTCCTGACCCAGGGCCCTCACACCTAGCTCGATTATTAGAGCCTCAGTAAATTTCTATCAGTGCCTGAGTGTAATTGACAAACCTCATCAGGCGCCCCCTGGAGGAGCCGACCCTGGGTTCTCCTTCAGCTGAACCATCCAATGTGAGGCCTTGGTCCCAGAGGGAATATGGAGGCCACCTAAGCGTTGGCTTCTTATGTTGCTTTTCCCAAAAACATATAGCCATGGTATGTCAGTTATATTTTAATTCATAAGAAACCAACCCAAACTTAGCAGCTTAAAAATACAGGCATTTATTTAAATCACAATGCTGTGGGTCAGCCAAGTGATTCCTCTGCTGGTTTCAGCTGGGCTCACTCATGTGTCTGTGGTCAACTGATGGCCAATGGTCTCGTTCACATGTTTGGCTGTTGTTTGCATGTTAGCTGGAGTGACAAGGGTACTTGAGCCACACGTCTCTCATCATCCAACAGGCTGGCCAGGGCTTATTCACATAGCAGTGATGACAGCATTCCCAAGAGTAGAAAGAATAGAAGTTTCAAGCCTCCTGAAGGCTCAGAACACATACATTATCATTTCTGCCACCTTGTATTGGTCAAAACAAGCCACAAGGCCACCCCAGATTCAACAAGTGGGGAAATAGACTCAATTTCTTCATGAGAGAAGCTGTGCCTCATTGAGGCCGTCTTGGCCATCTGCTACACATGGCTTGCCTCATGCCCTCCCCGCTAGGATAATAGACAACTCTCACAAATCTCGGTTTCCTGACTAACAGAACAAACTTAGGGGGAAAAAAAGGCAATAAAACAAAACCTTCCCAAAGGTAAAACCCTACAATCTTTTTAGTCCGTATTTACCAGCTCAAAATGCCTCAAGAGATTTCTTTTTGTCTTGATAGAACAATTTATTTGGGAAAAAATTAATAAAGAACTTGGCCTATGGATTGCTAGGTAATTCGGAAGTATAGTGTGTGAATGTTGCATAAAGTGTCTTTGGGTACAGTAAATAGGTACAATGATGTGTGGGGCTGAGCAGAAATAGAGATATTTCCTTCTTTTTGCTTCTCGATATTTTTTGTTTTCATTCAAAGTATAAACACCGATGTCAAAGAGAGTACTTTTTTTTTTTCAGTTTGAAAAAGATACCCCACCTAAAGGCAGTAGTATCTAAAAAAAAAAAAAAAAAAAAGATACCCCACCCCCTTCTGTGTACAGTTATGGGACCCACTTTTCAACAATGCTCCTTCACTCTGTTTTAATTTTCTAGATTGTGATTGTAGCCTGGCTGCTTCAGAAAGAGAAGCTCTGCGATTAGAATTGGATCGTATCAACAAGTGTAAGCTCTCTCTTTACTCTCCAGGCAGCTTGAAGTTTGGGAAAGACAGAAGGCAACAAATGTTTATTGAATGCATTGCTTGTATTCTGATCTCATGAAATCTTCACAACACCATTTTGGTGGAAATGAAGACAAAGAGGTTAAATTATTATTATTATTATTTTTTATTTCAGAGTATTATGAGGGTACAAACATTATGGTTACACTTTATGTCTTTGTCTCACCCAAGCAAGGATTAGAGGCATGCCCTCCCCCCTACAATGCTCCCCGTGTCCTTTAGTTGTGGATTTTTACGCTCCCCATCCCTGGAGAGTATTACTGCCACGTGAGCACCCTAGTGTTGATCAGTTAGTGCCAATTTGATGGCAAGTATAAGTGGAGCCCATTCTTCTGATCTTGTGGTGCCTCACTTTGGATAATGGGCTTAAGTTTAATCCGGGAAAGTATAAGAGGTTCTAGATCACTGTCGTTTCTTATGATTGAGTAATATTCCATTGTATACATATTCCAAATTTTAATAATCCACCCATGGATTGACGGGCACTCGGGTTGTTTCCACATCCTTGCAATAGTGAATTGTGCTGCCATAAACATTTGGGTGCAGATGTCTTTATCATAAAATATTTTATGCTCTTTTGGGTAGATGTCTAATAGTGCTATTGCTGGATCGAATGGTATTTCTATTTTTAGCTCTTTGAGGTATCTCCAAATTCTTTTCCACAGAGGTTGCACTAATTTGCAGTTCCACCAGCAGTGTAAATTATTTACTCAAATGCACAAAGCCAATAAGTTGCAGAGGCAGTTTATAAATTGAAGTTAGTCTGACTTCAGAGACCCTGATCCCACTAATACTTGCTCACTGAAAACAGGAACTATGCCCCTTTATTATGCTGGTGTTAAGACCTGGCTTTGGGGCCAAACTTGTTCTTTCTGGCATGGGGAAAATATTCTCAGACATTTTCATTTAGTCTCAAGTGGAGTGTAATTCAGAATTCCAAGTTATATGTGTTCTAGAAATCTGATCCAAAAGGACAAAGGCCTTTGTGCCAATTTGATGTTTCACATTTGGGATGCCATAGTTCACAAATAATAAGACAGGACACCAGTTAAATTTGAATTTCAGGTAAAAAACAATTTTCTTAGGTATAAATATGGCCCCAAAATTATATGAGAGATACTTATACTAAAAAAATATCATTCTTTATCTGAAATTTAAATTTAACTGAACATTCTATATTTTGTCTGGCAACTCTACTCTAGAAGCCTTTATCTTGAGAAATACCTTGAGCTGGACTTAAAGATAATCCAGGGTCACCCACTTTTTCCCATTTTAGGGCTGACATTCTCTCTGGGCAAAAAAGTTGGGCAGAAGATCTTCTTGACCAATGGTGAAAAGATGACCTTTGACAGAGTGAAGGCTCTATGTGCCCAGTTCCAGGGCTCTATGGCCATCCCCAGGAATGCCGAAGAGAACAGGGCCATCCAGAATCTCGTCAAGGAGGAGGCCCTCCTGGGCATCACAGATGAGAAGACAGAAGGCCAGTTTGTGGATTTGACAGGAAGTAGACTTACCTACATGAACTGGAACAACGGTGAGCCCAATGATGCTGGCTCTGGGGAAGATTGCGTAGTGTTCCTGACAAATGGCAAGTGGAATGACATTCCCTGTTCCTCCTCCTTTTTGGCAGTCTGCGAGTTCTCTGTCTGAAGAAACACTCCTCCCTTTACTGCAGCCCACAGTGTGCTTGGGAATATAAATTCTATCAATGACCCAGTATTGAGTCATTCCATTGTGGGCAATTGGAGAGAATGAGGAGCATGGATTAAACAATGGGATGTGGAAGTGAGAAGTGGGAAGAACCCGACAATGGTACAATGAGAGTTTCTGTTTCAGTCTCAGTCACTAAACATGATCACTACCACAAACAACAAAATAGTAAAAATAGTAGTAGTAGTAGTACTAATAATACATTTTTTATATTTACTATCAGACAGACTCTACGTTTTGTACTTATATTAATTATCTAATTTAATTAAGCTATAATACTTTTGATAGAGTGAGGTTCACTTGCTAAGGTATAAACATGTAAGGCTGTGTTGAGCCTTTCTCTTTGGATAGAAAGCTCCTCTAAAGAAATCACCCAGCCTAATCCCATAGCTTTTCAGCTAGTCTCAAGTATTTAGAGGATGAATCTGTTTTGTAGCTTTCTCTCTTTCTTTTTAATGGGATATTAAACTATGTAAAGACACAAATCTCAAGTGAACAGATTAATGAATTCTCACACACATACACACCCATGTGTCTACCTTCTAGATCAAGATAGAGGACATTTCTAGTACCTGAGAAGCACCTTTATAACTACTCCTAGTACTAACTCCTAGGTAAATACTATTCTGACCTTGATTACTATATTTTAATTTTGTCTGTTTATGAACTTTACATATAGAGAGAATTATTCTATACATACTGTTTTATGTCTTGTTTTTTTAACTCAAAATTAAATCTGTGAGATTCATTCATGTTGGTACATGTAGCAATAATTTCTTCCTTTTCATTGCTATGTAGGGTTCCCTTATGTTACTATTCCTCAGTTTACCCATTCTATTGTTAATGGGCACTTGGGTGGCTTCCAATTTTTGGCCATTAAAAAAAAGAGCTAATGAAAATTTCTGTATGTGTCTTTTGGTAGACATAGTGCACTAATTTCTCTTGACTATTCAGTAGAACTGGTAGGTGATGGGGAAAGCATGCATTTAGCTTTAGTAAATACTGTCAATTTTCTTAAGTGAGCATATGAATTTGCACTCCCACCAGCAATGTGTGTCAGTTCTAGATACTCTACATCCTTGATGTTCTCGGTTCTTTCAGTCTTGATCATTCTCTTGTGTGTAAAATGTTACATCTCCATGGTTTTAATCTGCGTTTCCCAACATGTAATAATGTTGAACACTTTTTCATATGTTTATTGGCTACTTGGGTATCTTTTTTCATACAGTACCTTTTCATGTTTTTTGTATTTTGTTTAAATTAAGTAGCCAGTATTTTTCTTATTATATTGTAAGTTATCTTTAAATTTTGGCTATAAGTCCTTATTGTTTATGTATATCGCAAATATTTTTCCAGTTTTTGACTTGCTCCTAATGTTGACTTTTGATGAGCAAAAGTTTTTAATTGTAAGAAAGTCTCATTTATTCATATTATCTTTCAAGATTAGAAATTTTTGTGTCCTGCTTAGGAAATCTTTGCCTATTCCAAAACCATGAAGGTATTTTCTTCTTTCTTTCCTAACAGCTTTATTGGCAAGGTACTGTACCTCTGTTAGATATCAACTTGATCCAGTACTATTTGTTAGAAAGACCATTTTTACTCCATTGAATTAGAGTGGTGCATTTTTGTAAATTAGGTAACTATATAAGTGTGGGAATGTTTCTAGGCTTTCTATTCCATTGGTCTATTTGTTAATGCTTGTGCCAAATACCACACTACCCTGATTACTGTACATTTATAGTAGGAACTAATATCTAGCAGTGTATGCCTTCTAGCTTTGTTCTTCTTCAAGATTCATGATTTCCCTATAAATTTCCCTATAAATATCTTCTCAATTTCCACAAAAGCCTGATGAGATTTCTATTGGGACTGCATTGACCATATTAATCAACTTATGCAGAATTGACAACTCACTACTGAGTCTCCAATCATTGTGTATCTCTTCATTTAACTAAGGTTCCTTTAAATTTCTCTTGCTACATTTTATTGTTTTTAGTTTAAAAGTCTTATATATTTTTCATTGGTAGTTTTAGTGGTTTTTAATAATACATTTTTAATAATTTCTATTTTCTACTGTTGTATATAGAAATACATCTAATTTTTATATATGATCTTATGATATTTAGTAACCTGAATATGTTTCTTTCTTAATTCTAATAGTTTGTAGATTATTCTGGATTTTCCACATACACAGTCATGTAATCTGAAAACATGGCAGTGACTTCTTCCCAATTGCTATCCTTATTACACTGGTTAGCAACCCCAATATAATATTGAAGTGCTGACAAAGAACTTCCTTTCCCGGTATATTAAGCTGACTTTGTTTTATTTCCGTTATCAAAACATTGTCTTTACCTTTTTAAAAACTTCAAATTCATACTTAACTACGTGTTCTGCCCACCTACCCCTCTATGCTACACAGACTTGGAAGGTCCTGTTCTCTATGATTCCATCTCTGCTTCCTTGAACATAGTCTGTAGGTATTTGTCTAAGAGGAGGGATGATGATTCTTAAAATGACTAGCTGTGATGATTGTCTGTCTTTTCCCTAATTTTAGCACTACTGACTAAGCTCACTGACTATAGATCCCCTGTAGATGGGCGGATGTCTCAGAAGAACTTGCTGAAGATGGGCTTGATACCAATTCTCCTTTTTATGGCTGTCTCTTGTGGGAAATGTCCTATACCTGAAAGCTACTCTACAAATTCCTTAATGACATTTGCAGCTATCCAAAAATAACCTCACACTCAAGGGATTAAAATTTGTCAACCTTGAGAAAATCCAAACATTCCTGGAGGTGGTTCCTGTATATGTGCTAAATGAATTAAACACTATCAGCATATAGTCTCCTGAGTGGAAGATTTTAAAAGGAACAGAAATTATTTGGAGGAATTTGGCCTGGTAGCTTGTTAAAAGAAAGTCACATAACCTCCTAAGTTAGAAGTCAAGTCATTGGTAGAAACAGTAAACATCATACATGCCAGTATAGTCACTGTAATCCCAGATTGTATGGTGAAGCGTTGCCAAGAAAACTTCTGCTGTTGTGCCGAAGTACAAAGGATCATAAGAATCTATATTCTTTTTTGTCATATTGTTTTCTATTTGCATTCTGTTGTTCTGTCTCTCTTCTCTCTGTCTCTTATACTCTCTCTCTCTCTTCCTGTCTTTCTCTCTCCCCTTGCTCTTAAAGTTTTACTTGATAAGGGCTAAAAATAATCTAGGTTGAAAATGAACAGATATCCCTTGTAACTTGGGGTTAGGCAAAAGTTTCTTAGAGAGATCAGAGAAATCAAATAACCATTAAAATTTAAAAATATAAATTTGATTTTATCAAATTAAAGATTAACTTATTTCCTTAAATATTAAGAAAACAGGCAAACCATGACTGGGAGAAAATATTTACAAAACATGTATCTATCAAAGGATATGTAGGATACAGAAACAAGTCCTATAACACAATAATAAAAGCACAAACTTGGCAAAGATGCCCAGAAACCAAAGAATGAAAAATGAAATACACTTCCCTGTGTCCTTTGTTAGGAATTCTCATTCCTTGATGTTGTGATGTTCCTACTCCTTGATGTTGTGTCCCCCAAAAGGATATATGTAAATCCTAACCACCAGGACCTATGCCTGTGACCTTATGTAGAAATAGGATCTTTACAGATATAATAAAGATAAAATGAGGCCACACTGGATTAGGGTGGGCCCTAATGCACCGACTGGTGTTCTTATAAGAAGAGAAAAATGTGGACAGAGAGATACAAAGACACACAGGGAGAACATCAGAGGTTAGAATGGTACACCTATAGGGCAAAGGATGCCAAGGATTGTTGGCAACCACTAGAAGCTGGGAGAGAGGCATGGAAGAACCTTCCTCAGAGGCTCCAGTAAGAACCAACCCTGCTAACACCTTGATTTCAGACTTCTAGTCTCCAGAATTGTGACAAAATAAATTTATGCTGTTTTAAGCCACCCCATTTGTGGTAATTTATTGTGAAAGCTTTAGGACACTAATACATTTGGCAACTGAGACTCTTTCTACACCTTCTATTGTGCATATGATATTAGATTAGATTATTACCTGGGAAACAGCCTCCTGACCTTCAATCTTAAGGTGGGACAGAGGGAAGGAGGGAAAGAGGGAGAAAGTGGGGGGAGAGAAGGGAACTGAGATATTCTCATGTGCTTTCTAAGACCTCCAGGAGAAGGTGCTCCTGGGCCTGGGCTCACCTGACCACAAACCAGAGGACATCTCCACCTAGGGTTTCATGAGGATAGAGTGGGCCATTGTGGAGTGTGTAATCGAAGGGTTGGGACCTGGTAAGATAATGGTGGCCTTAATTTTGACTCTCCCCACAGAACTGAATGTCAGTCTGGACAAGAAGCTGCAGGCCACCCTCAGGCAGACATGCCAGGCTTTTAGTAAGGTATGAGGGGGAACGCTGGGGCCCATGGAGCACAGGCAGCCCACAGCAGGACTTGGTCACTGCAACCAAAGTGAATGGTAAGGAGCCAGCTGGGAGAGGACCAAGAGGGAGCTAGGTATATTCACAGCTTGGGTGCCACATAATTTAAATGTTTATAGGAGAATCACAGTGAAACAAAAGGTGAGAAAATACCTGTAGAAGGGGTTTCTGAGCACCTGTTATGTGCCATATTTTGTATTTAGGAACTTCATACCCTAACATCATATATAATAACGTCCTTTTACAGATGAGGACAAGAGGATCTGAGTGGTTGGGATGCTTGCAGAAGTATACAGTCAGTATGGGGTTGCTCTAGGAAGCTGAAAATTCACAACTGTCTTACTCCAAACTCATTTCATCAAGGATATTCTCCTTGTGTTGTTCCTTACTCCAGGGTCATAAATAGGTTCAAGAAATTATACTTCTCCTCTACCGGTTCCTGGCCAGTGCTGTGTAACCTGGCCCTTCCTTTCAGACCTGTCTCTGGTGGGTCACCTCCTCTACATCCCACCCAACTAGGCATCGCTCAGAGATGCCAAAAGAGGAGTCATGGAAGAAACTGCTGGGGACAGGCAGCCACTATCGCACTGAAAGACAGTGTGACACATGCAAAAGATGATTAGGACGTACCATATGCACCCTACACCCAACAAACTCACATACAACAAATGCCCAAAGAGACACACAAAACAACCTGTATATAGCAAACATGCACAAACACTCAAAGACGAATAGAAGCACAGACTCTGATCAAAATTCTGATCTTGGCCACTCTGTCTTCTGCTCTGACCTTGCAGGAATCTGTGGTCATGGTGGGAAATAGGGCTATAGGCAATTTCATTTTTCCTTTTTACCTGTCTGCATTTGCTAACTTTTCTACAGTGGATGTTTATGACTTGTGTAATGAAAAAAAGCAAGTGTAGAAAATGGAATTAAAGAGTGGAGAAAGAAAGAGGGGCCAGAGGTCCCCAACAGATGCTCATTCCAGCTGTTGTGGCACGTCTCCCTCTTCCCCCAGGAATTCTCAGCATTTGCACAAGACTCTGAGGCACTTGGTGCCAGACTCTCATATGTGTTTCCTTCTCTCGGAGAGTGGCAGCGGCAAGGGGGCCTCCATGGTGATGGCAGTGGCCTACTCCTTGGCCAAGCACCACCGGCAGATAGAGGAGACCCTGGCCCACTTCCGCCTCAGCAAGCAGATGCCGCTGGAGGGGAAGAGGAGGATGTGGGTGGAGATGGAGATGGGGCTGTGGAGG